TATATATATATATATATATATATAAAAACATAGAGTGCCATCGAAAGATTAATCAAATTTTTGAAAATTATGCATTTTTTATGTTTATTAAATTGTGAATTAATACTAAAATTTTATGTATCAAGTGTAACCTACCAAGGCTCGATATTGATAAATTTTTTTCTCACATATTTCTAATATGCTTTATACTGTTTAGGATCAAGGTAAACGAAGACAAAGGATCTCGATTATTGTAAGCCATTGTGATACTTTTAATTTTATATGAAATACATTTGTAAGTAAAACTGTGATACAAATTAGATAAGAAGATGAAGTGAGGAGTACTGAGAGGAGTGTAAGATAAATAAATACATTTTTGCAAGTAACAATGTAGAACTATTCTTTTTCAACTTTTCTATTCACTATCTTATTAATACCATCAATTCTTTTCAGTCTGGCACATAGACATCATAGAAAATTCACCTTATCGCGAATGAAGCTGTCAATATATGGACGATGTCGTTATCGTTGGCTTAGGAAACCTATAAGATTGCAGCAAGCGAAAAAAAAAGAACCCTAAGGGAGTATATCTGTCTTGAGTGAGTGGGAAGGAAAAAATTTGTGTTTCTAGAGGCTGGTTGACTTGGCGCACAAATTATCTTTTGCACGAATCGTCATGATACCGAGCTCGTCTGCGTGATGATGACTACAACGATGAGAAATGAAGTTTCATGCAATGAACTTCCATTCCCCCGATCGATCGTTTCCCCAGATCCAGAAAAAGTTCATTTTCGTTGAATAACATAGGCTAATGATGAAGAGAACCGTTATCTTAAGGTCACAGGTATACTTCAAGTAAGGTAATTCGGCATGCGAATAACCTATTAGAATTATCGGAAGTTTTTCCTGTTTGTAAAGTTTCCATGTTATGCTTGTTCTGCGTTGCCCTAATAATGTGTTCATAGATCTGCACAACCTTCGGCCATGCCGAGACCAGGATAGGACGTTAACGTGTATGTTTTAGATGTTCAGAAAGTATGAGAGATATTTGAAGAATATATACCGGTAACTTAGCAAGTGAAGGAAAAATTGTCTATGTAAAAAGAGTTTATGCGCAAGGATTATATATTATGTGTAAGAAGTGGGCGGAAATGTTAGGTTTTTCCATTTGGTAACGTTGGTTTCAATTGAAGTAGGAACTGAATTTTATTTCATTTCTATTAGTCATCTTGCATCTTAATATCTTTTTGCAAACATAATTTATGTCAATTGTAAAAAATTTGAAGATCCGAAGATCTAAGAATTTGGAGACTGACTATCCTGGAACTAGGAGGAATCCATGTATACATCTGGGAATCTTTACTAGCCAAAGCTTTCAAAGTCAATGTTTAGAAAATTGAAAAAGAATCTTTATATCTTCATCGAAATCCCAATCTTAGCCGACCAGTTTAAGGATTTAAGTCTGTACCAGCAATGAATCGAGGTGTACACGAAGAAAAAAATCATACATAAAATAAGAGCACAATGAAAAAATATTTTTATTTAAAACGGCACAAACAACACAACACAAATAGCAAGAGTGGTAAATCAACACCAATTGAAAGGAATTTTCTATTACGGTAAAACCTGGCTAAGTAAAATTTATATCTATATATTGGAATTTTTGATCAAATTGTTTATCTGGTAATTTAAGGTGTGTTACATGGTAAATTATCTTAGTTTAGTACTCTCATTTTAATAATTAAGTTTTATATTTACATGATAACAAAGTATGATTTGAACTTTTTTCTCAATAATATCTCTGGTAGCAAGCTGATGCCATTTTGTCATCATTTTGACGTCAAAATGATAACGAAATGACGTAGTTTTGCTACCAGGAATAATTTTATATTGGAATGTTTTTTGTGGAGATAAATAAAGAGATATAAGATAGGAAGGGGGAGGGGAAGGGGGAGGTGCAAATGAGACAAACCTTTTTGATTGACAGACAGCTGCGTGTGTTTGGAAGATTTCTCATCCTATTCGTCCGACTGTGAAGAACTGTGGTTCAAGTGTCCCGAGATTGGCATACCAAAATATAAAATGCAATCTATTGATCGTGACTATATCGTGAAGATTTAATGAGAGTAAATCTGTTGGAGCGTAACTAGTTATCGTTCCTTATATCGTATAATTCCTATATCATATTCGTAATATAATTTACATATTGCATTTTGCTTTGTTCGATTCTTTTTGTTTTACATAGCAGGCTGCAGAACGAAAGAACTAGATCTAAACCTTTCATAGATTAGATAAATGTCCCCGACCGTCATTATCTGCACAGTCCTAATTCGACAACCTGTCGACGATACAATTGGTGATCATCAGGAGATACTACTGGATTTGTATGAAAACGATAAAGGTAACAAGAGACTGAAGATCATTATTGATCTTTGATCCTTGTACTTTGTGCCTTATGAATGTAAATATAGACGGGGGGAAGGAGGGGTAGGGGAAAAACAATGTTTTTATGAGTCATAGGAAGATGCTGCTTTGTATAATGGTAATGAAGAAAAATGTACTTGGAGGATATTTCAAGATGACACAAGATTACCAGATATATAATTGTCGATCACATATGATATGATAATATTCTGCTGATGTCTTTCGATTAGTTTGACAAGATGTAATTTCATCTGAATCCGTACAAAGCAAGTGTGCACGAGACTTCTGCAAGGACGCGCCGAACATACGGACCGTATGAATTTGCAAATCTCGAAAGGCTAAAGATAACACTTCAGTAGTTTAACAATTTTAGAATTTGAAGGATCATCATTCAAGGATCTATAAATATTTAAAAGTCTAAAAAGCCAAAGAGTTTTAGATAATGCTTTTCAAATCACTTTGTTTTCATCATTAATTTAATAGAATTATTTAATTATAATGGAATTATTTTATTGCAATTTGCGTATAGGTTCAAAATTTTTATTTTGTAGAAATCGCAACAATTTATCTATTATGGAACTACCTTATATCAAAAAAAGTTAGAGATACTTTATGAAAAATCCATCTAAGTAATAATAAATCTGACATTTCTTAACTTGAAAAGAGAAAAAGACGCATTGTTTTTAGAAGACATTGATTTTAAAAGTTTTTAAAAAGAGAGGGGGGAGAGAGAGAGAGAGAGAAGTATATAATATTTTATACAATATTACACAAATAATTCATTACAATTGTCAATATATAGGTTTCTAATAGATCTTTTCATCTTTTAGTTAGATTATCTATGGGAGGTATAGTGAGGATGACAAAATACTAGAAATAGTAGGGAGGGAAAGATCAAATACTACTTTGTTTTTTCACAGAAAGCGCCTGTCATTTGAATCACGACGTTATACATAAAATGTGTTCTAATCATGGAATGAGTAGGATGGTTCAATCATTTAAGGCACGATATAATGTGATATGTTTCTATGGGAATCATGTTTCTATGGGAACAGGAAATATATGAAAATTGATATACTAGTTCGAAAGAGGAAATGATGCAAAATATTAAAGTTCAATTCAGTGGAAAGTTCTTAACAAGTTGTACCGCTAAAATGTATTTTTAACAAGGATTTGATCTCGTAAAGAGATAACTTTAGGTTCTGCGACAAAGAGAGCAAAATTGAAAAATACAATTTTCTCGAAGCGGATAAAAATTACGAAGTTTGGTATAAATTATATGGATTCGTTCACACACACAATCTAATATTACAGACTGAAATAATGAATAAGGATTTCGAGCTTTAATAGAATTTTAATAGAATTAATTGGAAAGAAGATGAAATAATTAATGATATAATTAAAAGAAAGATAATAGCATGTGACTCGGTAAAATATACTAATTTATTAAGAAAGATATACGGACCAGTGATAAAGGTAAGCAGCAACTGCTGAATTTGCCAGGTAACGGTTTAAAAAAAAATGTGTTATGCTTTTTTTATCGTTTAATTATTGAACGTTGAGAAATTAATGTTTTATTAATTAATGTTTTTCTGAGATAGGAACCTTTTATGAATATTTCAAGAATATTTAGCGTTAGCTGGGATTTAACATTTACGAAAATAATTAAAAATTTTAAGTGAAAATTAATTTTATATCGATTTTTTAAATATACGTTTTTAAATTGGATTTGTTGAATTAATCAAGTCATTAACTAGATAAATCAAAATTCAAATCGATTTCAATTTTATTTTGCTATAGTATGTTTGTTATCTTTAGCATTTGATAAATCTGAACTCATATTTTAACATATCTTTAATAAAATATATTTGTTTTTCTTTTTTCTGTTATGAATATTTCATGTTAATATGTGCTAGAATAAAATATAAAATGTAAATAATTAGTTTTTTAACACTTTAATCTTAATATTTTTACGTATTTCTATATTTTTTATAAATATATATTTACGGCTCCTGAGTAAGTCATCTATGGTATTACTCAAAAGCCTTAAGAATTTTAGAAGAAAGTAATGCTTGTGTATAAAATGGTCCTCTGTTCCTCAGTGTCGTCATAAACAGTCTTCTACTTTTTTTGGCTTGAAGAAGCTGGATTCCGTTTCCTCTCTTGCTTGAGATTTTATTGTTATTGACCAAAGAATCTTGGACGTGAGTTATCCATTTCTTTAAAATTTTTCCTATTAACCGAGTGTTTTAGAGAGGTACAAAAGTATTCAACCGTGAAATGATCTGCTGTCGACCTTCGAATTCGATGCTGGTCTCCAAATACTTGCTCGACTGCGCAAACGTACCAATTTGGTGCTCAATTTCTCTTGCCGTTGGCTACAAAATCTTAAAGACTTCGTCTCTAGACATACGAGACTTGCGCTATATGTGACTTACCGTTTGTTAAATCAGTCATTCTTAGTCAACTAGGATTTCGTCGCAAAAGAGGACCATCGTGGATGTCCAATGCAAAATAGAATATTGTCATAGGAATTGTAAGAAGTCAGTTTTTTCAACAGCGCTGGTGCGAAATATGCAGATTCTAGAAAAATGGCATATCCTTCTTTCTAAAAAAAGTAAGTTTTATTTATACATAGTTATACAGTCCTGGAAATTCTATTAGCATACTGATAATTTGTTAAAAAAATTAATACAAGAATAATCAAATACACAAGTTTTTATTGTTTCAGTAATATTACAATAAAGATATACACAAAGACGAAACATAACAATATATAGTTAAAAATATAAAGAACAGCTCAAATAATTAAAAATTAAAATACAAAAAAGCTACAAGCCAAAAAATAATTATATATAATCTATACGCAAGCAAACGTTTCTAATTCACACAAGATCGTTTTCAATGTTAATATTGTAAAATTTAAATTCTATGAAAACAAATAGTAACTTAATAAGAACTGCATAAGAACATGAACATCGTTTCAAAATTCCTCACTATTATATAATATCGCAATAAAAACTTATAATGTATGTGTTCCTCATCTTCACAGTCGTCAAGCTATCAATCCGCAATAGTAGTTATCGGTATCGTAAACTATCATATTCATTTCATTACTTTGTTAAGATAAGAGTTTTTATTAAGGTATGATTATAAAAAAATTATTTGTTTATGAGACATTTAATATAATATTTCATGTTAATATGTGCTAGAATAAAATATAAAATATCTTGTAAGTAATTAGTTTTTTGACACTTTAATCTTAATATTTTTACGTATTTATAAAAATTTTAGTTTTAAGATTTATATATATTGCTAAAAATATATCGTAATCTTTTCTTTTTTTTTATTTTAATGTTAGGAACAAAAAAATTGGTATTTGATTATACTTTTATTTTATTTTATTTTATTTTTTTTTAACAAATTGTTAATACTGAAAATTTCCAGGATTATATTTAAATATACGCTTTGAAAAAAATTTGAATTTTTTTTTAAGTTCTAATAAATTTTAATAAACAAAAAATTGTTTTTTACTTTTTATTTATTTTATCGAATTGATTTATTTTATTAAATGCTATATATACGTGAAAAATCGCACATTACATTATTAAATAAATATTAAATACTGAAAGAAAATCTTATATAATATGGAAGTAAATCATATAAAATTGTAGGATCATCACAGGACTCTCTTTATCGTAGAAGATAATCGTAACACTTTAACAGAAAATCGAAACCTTTGAAATTTTTTTCCAGAAAATCTCGTAGAATTTTATTTTCTTTTAAGGAGAAGCATCGCATCATTTTATCATAAAAAAGTTGTCATCGCTGAGTTGATTTTTTGAATAAATTAGTAATACTAAGATTTTCAGGACGATATAATTAATCATCATCGCGAAGTCATAGATTAACTGCATCACAAAATTATCATGGAATTTTATTGTTATATTTAAAAATATAATCGCGTGACGAAAAAAAGGGTCATTGCAAGATTTCATTGCAGAAGAGGATTATCACGGGATTTCGTCATACAAAATCATCGTAGAATTCCATTGCAGAAGAGGACCATAGTGGAAGATCACAGAACTTTATCAGAAAAAGGATTATTGCGGGATTTCATCGCGGAAGATCGTGGGATCTTGATGCAGAAGAGGATCATATAACGAAATTTCGTCATACAAGATCATAGAATTCCATTGCAAAAGAGAACCATCGTGAAAGATCATTATAGAACTTTATCAGAAAAAGGATTATTACGGGATTTCATCGCGAAAGATTGTCGTGGGACCTTCATGCAGAAGAGGATGACATCGTGGGACATTCTGTCGCAGAAGAGGATCATCACAGAATTTCATTATACAAGATCATCATAGAATTCCATTACAGAAGATCATAGACCTTTATTATTGTACAAAAAGAATCATCACGTAATTTCATCGCAGAAGATCATCGTAGGACCTTGATGCAGAAGAGGATTACATCACGGGATTCTGTCGCAGAAGAGGATCATCGTGAAAGATCATCACAAAACTTTATCACAAAAAAGATCATCGCGGAAGATCATCGTGGGACCTTCGTGTAGAAGAGGATCACATGGGATTCTGTCGCAGAAGAGGATCATCACGGAATTTCGTTATACGAGATCATTATAGAATTCCATTATAGAAAGATCACAAAAAGGATCATTATGGAATTTTATCGCAGAAGATCATCGTAGGACCTTGATGCAGAAGAGGATTACATCACGGGATTCTGTCGCAGAAGAGGATCATCACGGAATTTCGTTATACGAGATCATTATAGAATTCCATTATAGAAAGATCACAAAAAGGATCATTATGGAATTTTATCGCAGAAGATCATCGTAGGACCTTGATGCAGAAGAGGATTACATCACGGGATTCTGTCGCAGAAGAGGATCATCACGGAATTTCGTTATACGAGATCATTATAGAATTCCATTATAGAAAGATCACAAAAAGGATCATTATGGAATTTTATCGCAGAAGATCATCGTAGGACCTTGATGCAGAAGAGGATTACATCACGGGATTCTGTCGCAGAAGAGGATCATCACGGAATTTCGTTATACGAGATCATTATAGAATTCCATTATAGAAAGATCACAAAAAGGATCATTATGGAATTTTATCGCAGAAGATCATCGTGAAACATTGATGCAGAAGAGGATTACATCACGGGATTCTGTCGCAGAAGAGAATCATCGTGAAAGATCATCACAGAACTTTATCAGAAAAAGGATTATCGCGGGATTTCATTGCGGAAGATCATCGTGAGACCTTCATGCAGAAGAGGATCACATCATGAGATTCTGTCGCAGAAGAGGATCATCATGGAATTTCGTTATACAAGATCATAGAATTCCATTGCAAAAGATCACAGATCTTTATCACAAAAAGAATCATCACGGGATTTTATCGCAGATCATCGTGGGATCTGGACGCAGAACAGCATCACATTACGGGATTCTGTCGCAGAAGAGGATCATCACGGGATTTCGTTATACAAGATTATCGTAGAATTCCATTGCAGAAGAGGACCATCGTAAAAAATCATCACAAAAAGGATCACCAGATTTCATCACAGAAGATCATCGTGGGACCTTGATGCAGAAGAGGATCACATCACGGGATTATGTCGCAGAAGAGGATCACATCACGGGATTATGTCGCAGAAGATGATTATCATGAGATTTCATCATACAAGATCATCGTAAAATTTCATTGCAAAAGAGAATCATTGTGAAAGGTCATTACAGAACTTCATCACAAAAGAATCATCGCGGGATTTTATCGCAGATCATCATGGGACCTTAAACCAGAAGACGATCACATCATGGGATTCTGTCGCAGAAGAGGATCATCACCGAATTTCGTCATACAAGATCATCATAGAATTCTATTGCAGAAGAGGACCATCGTAAAAAATCATCACAAAAAGGATCACCAGATTTCATCACAGAAGATCATCGTGGGACCTTGATGCAGAAGAGGATCACATCACGGGATTATGTCGCAGAAGAGGATCACATCACGGGATTATGTCGCAGAAGATGATTATCATGAGATTTCATCATACAAGATCATCGTAAAATTTCATTGCAAAAGAGAATCATTGTGAAAGGTCATTACAGAACTTCATCACAAAAGAATCATCGCGGGATTTTATCGCAGATCATCATGGGACCTTAAACCAGAAGACGATCACATCATGGGATTGTTGCAGAAGAGGATCACCACGAAACTTTATTGCAGAAAAAATTATGAGATTTTATTACAGAAGAGGATCATCATTAGATTTTGTCACAGAAGAGAATCATCTAAAGGATCCTGATTAATCATGTTTCGATTGCACATTCAATCATAGAGGCTGGATGCTGGAGCTTTTTAGTCTTAAATGCTATGAGTGGCTCGTGTCCAATCAAACCATGCCCAATCAGTGCCACTCGAATCATTACGGAACTCTGTCGTACAAGAAGGCTATCATGGAGTTTCCATCGTGGAAGATCATCGTAGAGAGAATCTTCATGACTATCGAAGGAGAATTATTATGAAATTCCATCTCAAAAGAGAATCATCGCAGAATTTCATCGCAGAAGAGGATTATTGTACGACTTTGTTGCAGAAGAATCAATATTGTTCGATTTCATTGCGGGTGGGGATTGTTATGGAACTACGTTATAAACACAAAGTCATCTCAGAATTTTATTACAAAAAAGATTATTGCTGAATTGATCATAAAACAATTATTATGAAACTGTTATACATATATGTCATATAATATACTTATTGGGTATATTCAGGGAGATGTTATTAGTATTATTAGTATTATTATTATTATTATTTGTATCATTCTATCCTTGTTTTACGTCTAATGAATGATGAAAATAGAATGACGGCAAATAGTGCTAATAGAGTCTACCCGAACGCACTTATTATGTCATGTATGAGTCATTTGATCTTTGTCCTTTCTTTTTTATAAAACTACACTTTTGAAATAAAAGACTCGTGATAAGACTTTATTAGCGTACAAGAAAGTGCAAAACTACGTTATAGATAAGAATCAACGTGAGTTTTGGAGAAGATAATTATTTTGAATATACATATATTGTAGAAGAATTTACAAAAAAAAGGTTATTTGGCTTTGTCAAAAATTGTATTATTGTAAAAGATGTGACGAAGCTATATCGCTTTGTTGCAAAATAGAATGTCATGATATTCAAATAGAAATCATAAGAATTTTAACATTCTATAAAGTTTTGATAAAATCAGAATCCTTGACATTGACATTAATTTCGTGGATATTAAATTTGCTATTAGAATCAAATTTTATTTTGAATTTTAACGCGATTTCTACAAGCTTCAATATTGTGAAATTTAGACTTTAGACTTGTATTATTATAGAATTAGTATTGTCAATATTGTTGAGTTTGATAATGAACCTTTTGTGGAACTTACAATAAGTTCAAACTAGCAAGTTTAGACTTTCAACGTTATAAGATATAAATTTTAAAGATTACTGGATTTGAATCCTTAATATTATTGCAAAGGTAAATATTATATATAACTTGAAAGTTTAACGTGAATTTTACAACTGCATGACATTTCTAATTTGACATTAACTTGATATTATAAATCCGATATTGTAAGACTTGGAGTCATACAATTGGAGTTTTGACGTCATGGATCTGGAGTTTCACTTTGCGGAACCTGGATTTTCGCAAATATTGGGAGACTTTGAAGTGTTGTGAAATCTAGACTTTGTATATTATATTTGGAATTTTTTACATCATTGGAGTCTTTAACACCTTAGGACTTGGAGTATCAGCATTATAGAATTTTTGATAAAAAATTTTTTATTGAAATATTTTGTAATGCTATTTTGACGAAAAGTTTATTTATACAATTAAGTACAAATTTTAATAATAATATATGCATAATTGATTAATATTTTATAAAATTTAATGAATCATAAAATATCCTGATAGCTAAGTGCAGTAAGTTTGCTGGCATGTTACAGCAACCAATTTCGACAAACTCAGGACAAGATGAGACAACACGTTTGTCGCGTTGAATTCAGTGAAATTCGAATTCTTACGATGGCAAATGGATGGCAATATATCAGCATCAATTTCCTCGACAGTTTGTGTTTTCAATTTGTTATCAGCGAATAACAGTGTATTGTCAGCAAATTAACGGCAACTTGGAAAAACTTCTCATTTGCATGCTATCTGCAGTCAATAGCATCTTTACAACATTGTCATGGCAACAGGCATCAAATAATATATACTATATATATATAGATAATATGCTAACAAAATATGTGCTACGCATTGTAAATATTTTAATACCGACAATGTTTAAGAATTCATGGAAAAAATAAATTTTTTTTTTTTTTAATGACAATTTTTACATGTCATGTCATGTCGTGTTTCACATTTACTTTATCATCGATTACAATCGTTTTACAATTTTATAATTGTCGAAAACGCAGAGATTCGAATCTAATTGTAAGATTGCAATAAACATAACAATACGCTTTTCCTAAGCTATATAATCACTCTTTGACAATTCGATATTCAATAATTATTCAACTAGCAGTCTTGCGATGTTTTGTACGAATCAGACAATTAAGATTAGTGCATCGAAATCGATATTTGTTATCTGTTTATCTAAATTGTAAATTTATCTTACTAAGTCTTAATTTATGCCGAAAATCATTTATGCTTATTATGATATCATATAATACTGTAAAAATGCATTACATTATATATATTGCGTTCAATGACATATGTGATGTAAGTACTCTATATGTTATATTTTTTTTATGACAAATAGATTCATTACAAATCAAGCTGATTGATTTATCTTTAACTTGAACAAAAAAGAATAAATCTGTCCACTTATTTTAAATAGTCATCTCTTATGAATCTTCCATTTCTTAGAACAGGAACTTCCAGCCATCCTGAAATTTAATATTTTCAAAATTTCTTTCGAAATTATAAACATATTAAGTTATAAACATATGTTCGTGCCCAATAAATACAGCACACTGTGAGCGAATGTTCGCATCTGCTTAATTAGGCACTGCGAGCGTGCAGTGCATTTGTTAAAATCGAGAAACAATGCATGCGTTTCTCGAATATTTTTCGAGATCTACGTTCAGAAACACTATTCGAATATTATTTTAACATTCGGCGAACAAGCATAAAATGATACAC